ACTCCCCCTTTTAAAGGGCGATTTGGGATTAGGGTACCCCAGTCGCCAAATCCTGGTGTTGAGGAATCATCAACATCACCTTTTAGTTCGGGAGCCATTGTCAGTAGGTTATTTTGAAGCAGTAAATATGAAAAATATGCATTGCCCTCGCCGGGAGTCGAACCCAGACCTCTCGAATACACCCGAGTGTGCTAAACCATTACACCACGAAGGAATGCTGGAAGAAGGGAGAAAATACCAGACCAATGTTTTGACATCCAATAGCTCTAGCTAGACGTGTATGATATTCTCCTATATTTCGACATTTAAAGCTAAAGAACAGAAAATGATCTTTGTTTACAAATATTGTTAATATATAGGTTTTTTTATATGTTTCATTTCGTTCAAGTTGTCCCACGTAACCGTACCTGTAGGACAGAATAATAACTATAAGAGTAAATGATGTTTAGCTGATCTTGGTGTTGTCATTATTTTCATTTATCAATAATATACAAATAATATTACACAGGTAACACTGGAAAAAATCCTAAACTGTTGATGATATATGTGGCTTTACGTTCCATATGTATGTTCCAAATTATTATACATGCTTACAGTGTTGACCCAATGAACAATTTATAATTGCTATTTACTTTTCTATTCCGTCTTATTCTTCAAAAAAAAAAAAGATACTTTAAAAATATTTTTATTATATTATTTTCATACTTATATATCATTTACAAAATGATACTCATATGAAACTGACCTGAAATCTATATTACGAAACTGCAATAGTACATTCTTTTTAGAGCAACAAAATCTTTAGCATATTAACAAATTAGTGACTGTTTTTGGTACTTTTGGAGACAAAAAGCGAATTACACGAAAGTGTCTCTACTACTACAACTGAAATTTTTATTAAGCAGAGTATAATTTCATTTTATAATAATGATTCAGTTTTATCAGCTGGCAAAAGTAAATACTGAAAGGACCAGAACTATCCTTGAATAATAATAACAATATACGATAAATTTCCTTCTGAACACTTAAGGCTGTATTAAGAGAAGATATGCAGAATTTAAACGTCTAATAACCAATTTAAATAAAATTTTTACAAAACATGTATTAAAATTACGAAACCAGTAAAATTCTTACCAATAACAACTGAGATGCAAGTGCAATATGTAACGACTATAACAGCAGAAATGCAACAAGAATTCAAAAAAAAATTCATAATTCTTTTTTTCATTTTTAATTTGTACTCTGAACATTTTCTCCATTACTTTTAAGTAACTATTATATTTTGGATATAATAATTCCTAAGCTATCTAAAACCATTTAATGCATTAAATGCAAAAAAAAGTAAAATAAAAAAAAAATTCACTTAAAATCTTTGTTCTGAAAATTTACTTCAACTAATTATTTTAATATAATGATAGATTAACAATTGCTAGCATGAAGTAATCAACTTGACCATAATTCTTTACAACATCGACTGTTAATATTCGAATGCAGCAAGTAATGAATACAGAAACATAAATGCACCAAAAAATAAAATCAGTAAAATTTCACTTCAAGTATCTATTGTGAATACTCTCCTGTTAACTTTACTAATTAGTTTTAATATAACATGATATACACTTTCTAAAATTTCTGTATCTACGTAGATTTAACTGTATGAAATGAATGTAAAAACATAAATCAACAAAAGATATTTAACAAAAAGAATTGCAACTTCTGCACTGGAAAATCAACACATTCGAAACTGAGAATAAAGTCTGATATATGTTTTTTCTCGCATACAGTTTTCATATCTTGTGATGAAGACAGCGTACTACTTTCGTTTGCGTTTGCATCCTTTACGACCAGCATCGGCTCTCACTTCACTGGCATTACCCGCCGAAGTGGAAGAATCTGTGCGAACATCAGCAGCACGTACAGTTTCACAAACAGATACGTTACATTCTACAGAAAACTCTACTGTTTTAAAGTTATATCTATACCAACTGGAAGTTTGAGGTAACGGAATATCAACAAATGTTAGTGCTTCGTCGATAATACTATCTTTCACTGTTACAAGTTCATCATCACTACCATCATTAGATCTTAAAATAATCTTGCCCTTAATTTTAAGCGGCATTACGATAGCGTGATCTCTGTAGAGTCGTAAAACACGTTTTCCTTTGTTCTGTCCTATTCCGAGTGGGTAAAAGCGTAAATTCCATTCATTCTTTGGTCCAAACCAATTACTGGAAAGAGATTCTCCAATTTGGAAACTACCATAGCTTCTCCTAATATCAAGCACGTCCCATTGGTAACGTATAGAGTATTTCATCGCGTTGAAAATTACTTATCACGGCAAACTAAAGCAGTCGAGAAATTATAATCAACAGCTGGGAAAAGTAACATTCAATAAACTACTTATACACAGTAACGAAGCGATTCAGAAACGCTATTTAATCAGTCCAACCCATTTTGTAACCCATAACCCATGAAACGCAGTAGATACATCCATAGCTAACATAAAAGCCTGCTTTTTTGTGATGCAGATGTCATGTGACATCATCTAGATGGGAGGGTTAATGGACAGGTGAAATTTGAACTCAGCCAAAAAGACGTTCTTTGACTCAGCCTAGTAGAAGAAAGTTCACCTGCGTAGTATGTATGCAATTATAAAATAAATAAACCCTGTTTATTCAAAATAATTCGAACAGAATCCTTTCAGCTAATGGCTAGAAGGCTATTAATGATTCACCGAGGGGAGTAAACCAAAATTTGGAGGGTGAGTAGTAAAACTTCACGAAACTTGAACGGGTTGGATTCACAATACTAATTTTGTGGGCGAAAATTTACATTAAATTTCTGGAAAAGATGTATACGCAAAAACGAAGTATTAATATATAAATTTTTTAATAAAAATAACTAAAACCAAATAAAAATTATACGTTTAAGAAAGACAACTTCCATTTATAAATCAATCGAATTGAAAAAAACATATTGTTACGGATTTGGTATTTAAATAGCTAATATTAGTTGAATTATAAATAAATTGTTTAATTCCCTTCCCCCCGTGCAGTGTAAGCGCGTTGATGAATATTAAAGGAGAGTTAAGCCGAAAAATTAAAAATACAAGAACGTGCATTTAACATTTTAATAAATATCTCTTTTTGATTTCGAGAAAGTTCTAGAAAATTCTCGCGCGCGATTTAAAAATCTTATAAAAAAGGAGGAAAAAAACCTCTTAATTCGATGATATCCTAACGCCGGCAGATTTTCCGAAATTCATCGAAAAAGAGGAAAGACAGCAGTAAAACCCAATGAAACCTCTCTACAGTGATAGAGTAAAGAAAAATTGAAAACCCACCCACAGAGTACAAGGATATCATAAACTGGATCCAAGATCCTAAAATCAAAAAATTTCTGAACAGTATGGTTGAGCACGTTGAGAAGATCCGCGCGCATAAACCACGGCTGAGAAGTTTACTGCCTGCCGTTCAAAGCAGCCATGACACTGATGAGATTTGCTGAAAGTGAAGAGTAATCACCAGCTTAGAAGCATTGGAGGGAATTTCACTATGTTTACGATTTCTTTCACTTTCAACACACAGGTTCCCCTGTTTACAGCAACAGAGCTCGGGGTCAGTACTTGGGTGGGTGACCACCCACGTGACTTATCACAGCAAACTAAATTGTACGGCGGCCAGATACTTGAACCCTCCTTCTCCAAAGTCTACTTGACCAACTCACGTGCATTAGCACATGTTCCTGCTTCACCTTTGTCGGTGCGGTGTAAATCACCTTAATTTTTAATTCTTCCCAACGCCTTAGGGCATATCTCCAACAGAGACGGTACTTTAGTAGCAGAGGTGCTACTTTAGTATCAGAGGCTACTAAATGCCGCTTAACCATTCACTCGATTTCGATTTCGATTTCAATTCGATTATTTTAGTTTGTTTTTTGTTGCTTTAAGAGTTTGTTTAGAAAACTGCTCTTGTTGACTGTAGCGAATTCGCGGATTAGTGTTCTTTCTTTAGCTGTTTTGAATTAAGTTCTCTTGAACGTTTGAATAGTTAAAAGATAACTACTGTGAGATATGAGATATGTGTAATACTGCCCGAATATCTAAGGAAATTCAAGCATTTGTGTGTGATAATAATAATTTTTGTTCATTTTCCATCGGACTTGTGCATTCATTTCATAACGAACCCGTATGCATGCAATAATATTTAACATCGTTACTTTAAATCACGTTAATATTAAATCTAACAATGTTGTATGATATGCTATAAATACATATTTTGTTTTCAGTAATCAGCATGTTTTTTTAAAGAAGAATTGTTTACATGGAAATTATTTATCGACATTGACACTCAAAGAAGGTCAATTTTATGTAACTTTTGTAATTTTATGTAAAATTGTGACAAAGACTTAATCCAGATGTCTAGCATCACTAAGGGTTTAAAATTAGGTAAAAACAACCTAATATTTTTAATAAAACTCTAATCAACTTCGATGGCGATCAGGTAAGAGAAAAACCACACTGGTACCTTTAAATGTATACTTTAATAAAATCCTTAGCGGGCTTGTAAAGTATAGCATTGTTCATCTACATTCAACCAGTGTATATTAATTTCCTTTTAGTTTTGCTTTGAGTGCAACAGCTGAAAAACGTTATTATTTTGGTAGAATAAACTTATTTGGTTGTGTTTAAATTTTTAGAGAGATTATTTAGGTAGAAATGCGTTGATGAATGGGCAAATTGGTGTACATTTACTGTCGTATCTAACATTTGGTGACCCTCAGTACCTTATTAAAATATAAGAGGTGAGTACTTTATCTAAGAAATACTTACTTGAATTTTTGGTTTTGATTTGCAATGGAGCATCTTGTTAAGAAGCCATTTCCGTTACGAACATCATTTACTAAGTCATACAAAAGTTTAATGTCTCTGTTTGATGATGAAAATATAGAAATAAGTGATGTTAAGATTAAATTAGCTACTTTAGATTAGTGCTGGTTTAATGACTCTTGACAATGAAATTTTAGAACTGAATAATATGGTAAAAGACGATAATGGTAAAAGTTATTCTGATGAATTTAAATCTTTAGGAGAATATAAAGTCAAATTTGATAAAGCTATGGTTTGCGTCAATTCTTTTATACAAAGTAAATCCCATCCAAACAGGAATATATTAAGTAATGAGAAATCAAGAATTAAACTTCCCAAATTTGAACTAATGAAATTTAGCGGTGAAGTTAAAGAATGGTTGTGCTTCTGGATTCAATTTAAACGAATTCACGATCATAAAGAAATGGAGTTGGAAGACAAATTCCAGTATTTAATACAGTGTATGTTGCCAGGTGCAAGAGCGAAAGAGATCGTTTATAGCTATCCACCTACGGCAGAAAATTATACAAAAGCGATTGAAAGCCTCAAAGCAAGATTTGGCAGTAAGGAATTGTTAGTGGAATACTATGTTCGTGGGCTATTAACTTTAGTTGTTAAAAATGCTACCAAATCAAGGCTTAGTATCACTCAATTATGTGATAAACTTGAATCCCACCTCATATCATTAGAATCCATTGGGATGACCTCAGACAAATATTCTGCAATGCTCTTCCCGCTTGTGGAGTTGTGTATTCCAGAAGACGCGTTGACAGTTTGGTTGAGAAACTCAGTAAATGAAGAGAAATCATATAGTGCAAGACTGAGCCAACTTAATAGATTACTTAGATAAATTTTCTAAGAGCTGAGGTCGAAGGGGAAGAAAGAATATAGCAAAGTCAGGTATGAAGCAAAGTGATCCCTATAGAAAAGCTCAGAAGGATACGGAAGCTATTACTATACCTACTGCAAGCAACACGTTTCAGGAGCAAAAGAAATAAATAGCAATAATGTAGTAAATTGTATATTCTGTGAAAAATCTCATCAAAGTAAAGATTGCTACAAAACAAGCACAAATTAAAATTTAAGTAATCATGAAAAACTGAAAATTATGAAAGGAAAAAAAATGTTGCTTTACGTGTTTGAAAACAAACCATCGAGCTAAAAATTGTAAAAAGCCAAGTTCTATGCATGTTTTGTGTTAGGAAGCATTACATTGCTTGTTGTCTAGAATTTAAGCAGAAATCAAAAGTTCCTGTCGAGTGCAATCAAGAAAATTGTAAAATTAGCACTCTTTCTTCAACAGGCATTTCAGGAAGAGTTTTGCTTCAAACTTTAGTGTTTGCTATTCAACATGAAGGAAAGAAACTTCATCTTCGAGCTTTGATCGATACTGGATCTGAATATTCCTATGTTTTTTAAATCAACAGTAGAATCTTTAGGAATAAGATCAGAAGCTCATAAAAAATTAACACACGTTGTGTTTGGAGGAAGGACATCTGATATGAATCATAAATGTTATAAAATAAATGTTGACAATTTGCGTACTGGTTATAGCTGCAAGATTCCTGTGTTAGATCAGCCTATAATTTGTGGTTCTATACCTAGTCTGCAGAAAGGACCTTGGATATCAGAATTAGCTGGAAAGGGAATTCATATCACAGATGTTGATTGTGTCAACCCACAAATTGATCTTTTGATAGGCTCAGACTTTGTAATACATATTTATACAAGAAAAATACAGAAATTAAGTACAGGCATTTTTGCCATGGAAACACTGCTCGGATGGGTTTTGATGGATAAATCGCCAACAATTGAAGGTGAAAATTCTATTGCTGCTGTTGTCACCTTCCTCTTAAGTCACAATCAAGATATCAGAAATCTTTGGGAATTAGAAGCCGTTGGCATTACAGATCCCTTTGGATTGAAATCTAGAAGTGAAATTGATAAGGTCGTAAACGATCATTTTATGGCAAATTTAAGAAAATATGAGGAGGGAAGACATGAGGTGTCATGGGTACATGACAAAAATCTTCCTGAGTATAGAGATATAGCTGAAAGAGGACTAGAAAAAAACAACAACTAAGTTAAAAATGGAAGAAAAATATAATCCATATAATGATGTGTTCGAGGAGTGGTTAAAAGAAGATGTAATTGAAAAGGTACCACTTGAAGAACTATCTAAATCTGGTTGTACTTGCCACGTAGAGGAATTTTCAAGGAAAATTCAACAACTAAAGCTAGAACAGTTTTCAATGCATCAAATAGAAAAAAAGAATTTCCTTCTTTTAACGATTATCTTGAAAAAGGACCTAACAACTTAGAATTGATACCGTCATTATTAGTAAGATTTAGGGAAAAAAGAATAGGTGTTATATCTGACATAAAAAAGGCTTTCTTACAGATAACAACAACAACAAACTATTATAACCACTCCTTCTACTGAAAGAAACTGCAGCGTTTTGTAATGATTGCTGCCAGTAAGTGGGTTCGAATCCACGCCTTCTAGACACTCCGTTATCTCACTCCGTATTAGGCAGGAGGAGACAAGTGCTAACTACCAAGGTGAACAAAAGCCAACAGGCTAAAACGAGGCAGAGCACGTCAGCTGAGAAAGGGAGCTTCAAAGAAAAGCCAAACGTCTGAAAGAGGAAAGGGGTGCTTTTCGGCTAAAAAGGGGAAGAAGCAAAAAGCTAAAAACTGTTCTAAGAAGCGGCGAGCCTTCACGGCTAAAAAAGAGGCAGAACAAGAAAAGCCAATAGCCTAAAATGAGGCAGAGTACGTCAGCTGAGAAAAGGGGCCTCAAAGAAAAGCGAAACGGCTAAAAGAGGAGGAGGTGCCTTTCGGCTAAAATGTAAAGAAGCAAAAAGGTAAAAATTGTGGTCTAAGAAGGGTAGAGCCTTCACGGCTAAAAAAAGGGAGCAAAAAAAGTAAATAAATAAATAATTTAAAAAAATTCAAAGATCTATAGGCGAAATGAAGCAAAGCCTATCGACAAAACGGGGGCTGAGAAGGAAGGCCAAACGGCGAAAGGAAAATAGAAAGCTTTGCAAACTTAAAAGCAAAAAGGGAGTCATTACGACTAAAACAGGAAGTGAAGAGACGACTTTTTTTTTTTTTTTTTTTTTTTTTTTTTTTTTTTTTTTTTTTTTTTTTGTTTTTTTTTTTTTTTTTTTTTTTTTTTTTTTTTTGCATAAATGAACAGACATAAATAAATTAAAATAAACATAAAGAACAATTATATACATACGAAATACATACAACGAAAGACACGCAACGAAATATATATATAAATGAATAATAAACATATAAACAGATACTAATTCAGAAGTCAAACAACAAAAATCAGCGTTATACCTACAAAATTAACGCTGATTTTTGTTGTTTGACTTCTGAATTAGTATTTATTCGGAGTGTTATTGTGTCTTAATTATATAAACAGATATTCAATTTGTTACAGATGTAAGTAAACACTGTAGTGATATACATATCAATTAACATACATACACATAAATACATATAAAATGAATATTATATATATACATATTGTTACGTGCGTACGGGTTCGTTACGAAATGAATGCACAAGTCCGATGAAAAATGAAGAAAATTTATTATTATCATAACAAATATGATTAAATGTCCTCAAATAATCGTGCAGTATCACAATATATCACAGTAGTATCTTCTAACTACTGAAACGGTCAAGAGACTTAAACAGCTAAAGAAAGCTCATCCGCGAATTCGCTACAATCAACAAGAGCAGTTTTCTAAACAAACTCTTAAAATAACAACAAACTAAGTAACTAACTAAAATCACCCGAACTTTTCCTCCTTATATAAGATTTTAAATCGCGCACGAGAATTTTCTGGAACTTTCTCGAAATCAAAAAGAGATTTTTATTAAATGTTAAATGCAAGCGGTCTTGTATTTTCAATTTTCCGGCTTAGCTTTCTTTTAATATTCGTCACGCGCTGCACTGCGCGGGAAATAAAACCATTTAATTTACAATTCAACTAACATTAGCTATTTAAATACCAAATGCGTAACAATATAAATGAATAATCTATAAACAAATGAAAAATTATATACATACAAAATATATATAGCGAAATTATACACTATGAAATATATACATAAATGAGCAATTAATTAAAACAGTGTAAAATTAAAATAAACATGTAAACAGATATGCAGTTTTTTACAGATTAAAGTAAACACTAATGTGACTAAATAATTGATCATTACATTGACGTGAATGAAAGAAAAAATAACAATTAGAATGACATAAATATTGTAGGATTAAAGATAAGCAATAAAGTCTCAGTCGTTTACATGCATAAAGTTGCATAACTGACTTCATGACGTTAAGAGTAGAATTAGATTTTGCCAATGTTCCCATGTGTTCTTGATCCACGAGGATTTGTTCGTACTAGACCCCATATAATATGTTTTAAATTAAAGTCGCCATAGATGACTACTGGAAGATCACCTAGATCATTTATTATTTCCTCTAATGAAATTGTATTTAGATCAATTTCTGTGGTTGAAGAACAATAGACCGAGATTTTTGTAAAAGAGGATGATCCTTCTACATTGATTACTATTTGGAATTTTTTTAAAGTCAACTTTAATTGTGCACTTGCACTTCTTACAGATAAGCATTGACGAAGAATATCGGGATTATCTTCGATTTCTGTGGTGGAAGGATAATGAGAGTAAAGAAATTCAAGTTTTTAGGTACTGTAGAGTAGTTTTTGGAGTTATCTGCAGTCCGTTTATTCTTGGAGCAGTCATTTGGCATCATCTGGAAAACTCATGCATAAAACTTAAAGAAACTGCAGAAAAGTTATTGAGATCGTTTTATGTTGATAACTGCGTCACTTCATTGGATAAAGAAAGTGAAACTCAACATTTTATAGAAGTTGCTACACAGTTTAATGCAAAATGCTAAATTTGAACTAAGAGGTTGGGAGTTTACCAATTTTAATGTATCATCTCCAGAGCTAGAAATATCTCAAGTCTTAGGAGCGCTCTGGAATCAAAGAACTGACACTTTATCTTGTGAAGCTGATTTAAGAACTGAAATGATGGAACCATTTACTTGAAGAAAATTACTTTCTATTGCACAAAGTTTTTGATCCGATTGGGTTTTGTTGCCCTGTAACACTGTATCCCAAATTAATTCTTCAAGAAAGCTGGAAATTAGAACTTGGTTGGTATGATGAACTGTCAAAAGATGTAACTGAAAAGTTTAAGAAGTGGTTCAAGGATCTTCATCTTTTGAAATTGGTAGAAATTCCAAGATATATGTCAATAGAAAACTGTGTATCCATCAGCCTGCATACATTTTGTGATGCATCTAAATTATCTTATTTAACTCTCATTTTCTTGAAGAGTGAAACTGAAAATCAAGTTTCATTGCAACTGGTTATTGCTAAATCAAGAATCGCACCACTGAAAGCAATGTCAATTCCTAGACTAGAGTTAACGGCATGTACCATAGGCGTACGTCTTTCTGATATGGTATCTGAAAAAGGCTTTAAGTATCCAAGACATTGAAGAATCTTATTGGACAGATTTCAACTTCAGTGTTGTATGGGATAAAACATGATGATACATGGACTGTGTAAAAAACAGAGTTAAGGAAATTAGAAATCTCACAGATCGAACAAAGTGGCGACATGTACCAGGACTGAGAATCCTGCTGACTTGCCATCAAGAGACTGTTCAGCGAAGAAATTAATAGAATCACATTGATGGGAGGGTCCTCAGTGGCTGAATTTTCGAAGTACACAAAAGTTTTGAGAATGATCAGGCGCTTTATAGAAAATTCCCGAAAGAAAAGTGAAG